GAGTAAAGAAACAGACTTTAGGACATCGCTGTAAACGGCCTCATGTGAATGAGCAGCTTTTGTACAGATCCACATCAAACCAAACTGTAGAGCAGAGCTGAGCCGATACAGGGAGCAGGCGAGGGGCTGTGCTCTGCTGTGGGAGGGCATCCGGACGACTCCCACACAGCACACAAACATGTTAGGAATGTTAAGCATTTATCATCCTAATATATTTCCAAACAAAAGAAGTCTTGAGCATGTTACATGTTGTTTTTCAGTCGACTCGTTTGGTATTTATTTTTACAATTCTGGGAATTCACTGAAGGTGTCACACCAGTCCTCAGTCTGCTCCACTCACCTGATGTTCAGACACAGAACACCGACTGTTTAGAACTCCACACCCCACACTTGCACCAGTGCTAAGACTGGGCACAAAATCTGCTGAGATTTTAGGGAGTCTCAATTTTCAACAAATTTCAAACAAAACAAAATCTTCTGGATACTTACAGAGTAGCACATGGTTTTAACCTCTTCGTCTGCAAATTGAAGTGGTGTTATCTCGTGGGGGGTTGTTACAGATGCTCCCATTTCTGCAGTGACTGAAACTAACTCAACACTATCTGTAAAGTGAAGTGAACTGTACCAACACTATCTGTGAGCTGACTGTGACTGAGCATGAACAAAACATTTCACTTATGTGTGTTTGGTGGAGTGTACCATTATTGTTTTTAAGGACTGCAAAAATGTACAAGGCCACAAAATGCACACACAGTAAAATGATATAAAGAAGAACAATAATGATCATAATTATAATTGATTATCATTAATAATATAAATAATAACATGCAAACAGCTGAAATGTACTTTTTTGTTTCTCTTCTGTGTTTCTTGTTTGGAAAAGTGGGTCAGTTGGAGGTGTGGTTTGGATTGGGACGCCTCCTTTCAAACTTCAAATACTTTCAGTTTTAAATTGTGATGATACTATTTTTCATCATTTTTTGATCAGACATTAAGTGAATATATGGCTTCGTTTTATACTTGATCAACCAATCATGTCTACGTCGAGAGCAGATTTGAACCACCGACCTTCGGATCAGTGAACAAACGTTTTATCAGCTGTCCTCCTAGATTTTGTCTTCTTCACTCTGCTCAAGTTATTTTGAAGTTGCAACACGGCACAGACCAGACAAGTTTTTCTTCTGATCAGTTTTCAGATAAGGCACTGCTCAAAATACACACCTTCATTCCACTCATTAAAGATAAAAGTGAATTTGAGGTTACAGACCAGTCATCAGACTAGATGAGGTCATCCAGCCCCTCGAAAACAGCAGATAATTATATAGAACATTTGTATTTTGTTTGCGTTGTTTTGTGCTGTGATCATTTTCATTTGTGCAAGTATATTTGTAAATGTCAAGTCTTTAGTTTCGGAATGCAGGTCCAACTTGAAAAAAAAAAAAAAAAGAAGAGGGAAACAGACACAAGGCTCAACTCAGCTTGAAGTTTTTATTGAAATAATTTGATTCTTTTAGTAGTAGTAGTAGTAGTAGTAGTAGTGGTATTTATAGTTGTAGTAGCTGCAGCAGTAGCAGCAGGTCGAAAAACTTTAAAGTAAATAAATATGTGTAATGAAATTAAATTTACATTTCATTAGTTATATAATCTATTTTAATTAATACACTTCAATTATAATATGTATTATATATATATATATATATATATATATATATATATATATATATTTTATTGTATTTTATAATATTTAGTATACATTTTATACATGAACTTAAATAGCTATAATTTTAACCAAACATTTTACCAATACATTTCTAATCCTATAATAACTTTTTATGCAGTTTTAAATGAGTACATGAAATGTAATATTTTATAATTTGAAGACAAATTTTGATAAATAAATACATTGTTTTTTAATTGCTAAATAACATATATATATTTTTAACTCGAGCTACTTTAATTTAGAATTTACATCATTTACTTTAAATAAGATTTGCTACTTTATAAATAAACAATTTAGTTATTCACCTTAGCTCTATTTTGGCATTTTCAAACTTAAATTGAATTTACTTACTATTTACTTTAACTAAACTTAAAACTAATTTTAAAGGTACATTTCCTCACCAGTGTCTCTGTGTTTCCTTCACGTTCCTTCGTTTGGTTTGATTTGTGTTTGCACTTGGGCCTAATGAAATGATTCCAGAGACACACCTGGTTACCTGGTTACCTGATTGTTTTTTTTTTTTTTTGCTGCCATCTACTGGCCAGACTAAAAATAACCTCATCAACTCATAAAAAAAAGGGGAGGGGAGGAGAGGGGAGGAGTGGTGAAGAGGAAGAGGAGGGAGCAGAGGTGAGAGGAGACAGGGCTCAGGAGTGGAGGTGAAGACTTGGTGCAGGGGCTGGGCTTTTTTGACATGACACTAAATGATTAATTATTATTTTTGTTGAGATTATATGACTTCATTTCATAATAATACAGACTTTTCCACAGCCTCAGACCGTTTCTCTTCACTAGTTTTGTTAAAGCCGCTGCCGTCAGCTGAGCGGAAATGACATCAATAATTTCCACAAAAATTAATAATTCATAATTTTAGAAATATACTAACAGAAATGAAAATGATCACAGCACAAACCTACACTGTAAACCCAAATTTTCTTTTACATATTAAGCCATGCTAATATTACTAATCTTTTAATATTTTGCAAAAGGCGGGACCATTACTAAACAAAGTGTGAATTGTAAACTATTTTAAACTAGTATTTGCTGTACTAATGGCTCTGAGTGGAGACGGCTCACACTTGTATGTTTTTACCGGTGAAGGGAGAGACTTGGCACCTGAACACTCCCAAACTGCACCAAACCACATTTGACTTCTGCTCGGACTGTTGGCTGCAATTCAGCGTCAGTTTGCTTTATCATCATATGGTAAGTGAATAAATATGGTTTCTGTTCCCGTGAGACTGAATAGTTGGTGACATTGGTTGACGCTTGCAGCCAAATAAGGCTAAACGTGAAGTGAACTTGTGGTCACGTTGTGCTCGCTATCATCTGTTAGCCGCTAACAGAGAACAGCTAATGCTAACAGTTAACGGTGTGGGAGCCGGTACTACCGGCATCTCTACCGGCCCGGTAGAGATGCGCAGAGGGCGGACTCCGCGGCTAAACCGCGGCTCGGGCGGATGACGCGACGAAAAATACTATTTTAATCAAACTCGGCGGGTGGCGGTTTTAACGACGCATGGACCCATAGAACTCCTCACGGGCGCCGTGTCTTCTCACGTACACTGTGTGCACCGCGCCTTTTTTTTTTTTAATCGAGACTCGTTTTCGTTGTTTGCTATATGATTGTTCTAAAATCTAAAATCGTGGGTGCAAATGGAGAGTTTGGAGTTCAAGTTTTTAGATTATCACCACAAAATTGCATATAAGCTTTGGTTGGAATTAAACACTAAAACATATTTTCTGTTTTACAGGTGACTACCCAACATGCTGCGGAGCTGTAAATTACTGTGAGTTCAGCTGTGATATAAGAGAGGTTACTACCTCAGACACTACAGAACACTAATTTCTTTCTTTAGATTTGTCTGGAATTCAAAAGGATTGTGGGAAAAGACCTGCATCAGGAATTTTATTCTGCCCTTGATAACCACAGTACCCATTTTATTGAAAGTTTTTAAAGCTGAGAGGGCAACGTGGGTGACAGTTGGCACAGCTTTTGCAGCAAATACAGGTAAAACTTTTGTAACCTGGATAAAAATACATGTGCAGTAAAAGCATAAGTTCATAACATAGTTAATTCTAAATGGATAAAAAGATAATTCATTTTTATTAAAATACATAGTTCATGTTAATGGTTAAATGTATATTTTACAGAAGTGTTTGCGTCTCTGTATATTTCTTTAACTTATCATGCAGTATCCATTTTCTGTCTTACAGTCACTGGATTCTACTGAAAAAAGGACAGTCACACTAAGGGGCTTCCTTACTTACTCGGAGACAATCCCACTGAATTCTTCAAATCTAGAAGCTTTGTAAGTGTACATTTTATTTGTAATGTGAAACTTTTAGAATGTGACATTTATTGTATAATTTGAATATGCCAAAACTGACAAGTAGTCTGTACATTAAGAGCTTCAGCCATTCCATGATATTATTTATCTTAAAGTCAGATTATTATTGATTTTCAAATATTTTTTTTGAACATTTAAAAATGCTTGACCAAATAGTTATCATGTCAGCATAATTGAATTTCATACAATTTATGTTTTGTCATTCTTATTGAGTCTGTTGTAGTTCAGTAATTTCATTCACTAATGGTTATGTTTCTGGCATTAATTTTTTAGTTTTTCTTTAGGATGGTGATGAATCCTTTCGCCAAATGGACATTGGGATCTTGTTAGTAAATCTGAAGTTGTCTCTCTTCCAACACCAG